AGTATTTAAGTTTTCGTTTTCGCAAAATTAGATTAAAAAATTCACCGTTAACATTTTGTTTTCTTAGTCAACTTTGACTTTTGTCAGACATAATTTACGGTTAACTTGGAGATTTAATTTGTAACCATGATTGTTAGAGAATAAATATGTCAACTGTACATACTTGGAGAATTAAAAGACTATTTACCCTAACATTGTCCTACAAAAACCCCATTTGATGAAATCGTTTTCCTCATCCCACTTCAAACACAAAAAGCAAACTAGCTTAAGGCAAGGCAAAGGATAAGCGACAGGCTCTACAATGGCGATCACATGTGCCTCCTTTGCCATTTGCCTCCTCTCCTTGGCCACTATAGCCACCGCTGATTACTACTCTCCCTCATCTCCTCCAGTTTACAAAAAGTCTCCAAGCTATTCTCCTCCAACTCCATATGCCCCAAAACCAACCTATGCTCCACCCAGTGCAATCCCGCGATGTAAACATGGGCTTGCAGCTCTATTATAAATATAGTTTATCCGTCTTCATTTCCTAAAAATTATTGCTAGGCTAGCGACCAGTTCAAGTCTAGCTCGTATCTTTTTTCTTATTTTTCTGGTTTTTCTTTTGGAATATGCATTATTTAACAGACCCTTTTTTTTTGTGCCGGCTCTAGCTCCGCCTCCACCCCCAGTGCCGGCTCTAGCTCCGCCTCCACCCCCAGTGCCGGCTCTACCTCCGCCTCTACCCCCAGTGCCGGCTCTACTCCGCCTCCACCCCCAGTGCCGGCTCTACCTCCGCCTCCACCCCCAGTGCCGGCTCTACCTCCGCCTCCACCTACAAGGCCGGCTCTAGCTCCGCCTCCACCCACAGTGCCAGCTCTAGCTCCGCCTCGACCCCCAGTGCCGGCTGTAGCTCCGCCTCCACCCACAAGGCCGGCTCTAGCTCCACCTCCGGTCTACAAAAAGTCTCCAAGCTATTTTCCTCCACCTCCATATGTCCCAAAACCAACCTACAGTACTCCACCTACCAAGCCATACGTCCCAGAGATCCTTAAAGCCGTTGATGGCATCATCCTTTGCAAAAACGGCTACGAAACCTACCCAATTCTAAGTATTATAAATTAATACAATACTCAAGGCACTAATGAAATATCTATTATAACAAGAAAGTTACGTACTAATTATAACATTTTCGGTTAATTTGAATTCTTGTAGGAGCAAAGATAAAGATCGAGTGCACTGAGCCAGCATCATACGGAAAGAGCCAGAAGGTAGTTGTGATCTACAGCAATCCAACTGACTATAGAGGATACTTCCTCGTGTCGTTGACCAACATCAAGGACATATCTCTGTGCCGAGTCAAGCTCTACACATCTTCACTCGAGACTTGCAAGAACCCGACCAATGTCAACAAGGGTCTCATCGGAGTTCCCTTGTCGTTGTACGGATACCGTTACCACTCCGACAAGCACTTGAACGTCTTTAGCGTCGGACCTTTCTACTTCACCGGTCCAAAGGCTGTTCCCACCCCTTCCAAATACTAATTACACCATGATCACATTATTCTAATGATGAGCATGCATGCATTATATATGAGGTCGCTTCCAATTTATTATTTGAAAGTTTTTTCCCTTGAAAA